TCCAATTTTTCCTCCCTATAATTTTTATGTTTTCATAAGCAGGAGTAAAGTAAAAAAAAAAAAATTATTCTAGAAAAACATTTTCTCTGTAGATTCTGTAACTGACAATTTTCATGTAGTATCTCTTGTGTGCTTACCTGGGCGGCAGGTGCTCAATTTACACGAGCTCCCCACTATTTTGCTTTATTTATAAGCATTAAAGCTAGGCGCACACCGCTTGGATTATAAATATTTCATTTTGCTCTACCTTATAATATTTACGTTTAATCAAAGGGAAAATCGATTGCAATAACTGGAAACTGTAATAAAATTTTAATAAAAACGAGTAAGCGCCCCTTGTGAACTGTATACAAAAATATTATATCTCTGAATATTAATATCTCTGCATATACTCTCCACAATTGCTGTAAATATTAAATAATCATGCATTGGATTTGAATACTCTAACAGAGAGACGTTTTTAATTTGGATAATGGGAATTGTTTATGCATTGGCCAGTAGACTTTCAAGATAGAGAAAGGATATATGAGTGGTTGATAGAGAGGATTATGAGATATTCATATATATGTATATAGAGCAAACTGAGCTCAACGTTTCATAGGAATTAGAATAAATATGTAAGTCTATGTTCTATATAACTGTAACTAATATTATATTAATATTATATGATATAATTATTTTATATTTAAATACTATTATACACTAGAATTAATCTATTGTAAGGCCTTTTTAAATATTTCCTCTTAATACTTTCACAGTTTATGATATATGTAACTCAGTATTATGATGATTTAGCTCAGTTATCATGATTAAAGATTCTCACAATTCTCAGTATAATGATTATAATATTGATGCTTAGTATATCATTTATAAATATTCATATATTCTAGTACACACAACTCAATAATAATCTACCTGATTTCAGCTAGTCACTGCTTTAAGGGCATATCGTAGTCGGCTACTCCCCAGTGTTCAGTTTTGCTTGTTTTCTTATTGCAATGCTTGCAAATGTATTTATTTTGTGGTTGTGAGCTTTTCAGTTCCGCTAAAAATGTATTACACAGACACGCACACACACATACAAAGAGTCACACACAGACACACACACACACACGCTTGCATATATCATTTTAATTAAAGGCCCAAAGGCGTTTAAAAGAATTGAAACTATACACGCCCACACCTACCCAACTACATAAATCCTCATGCACACACAGACACACATACACACATCTACTCACACACACGCAGACGTGCAAAATTGATTATATCCGCCAAATTCCACAATTTGTGTACCAATTCAAAACAATGCCAAAATGATTGCAAATGAAAAACAGTCAACGGGAATGAGCGAGCGTGAAATAAATATGAATTTCATTACATTCATTCCATACACATACATACATACATGTATATAGAAAGAGTGTGCAATAAAAATTAATTTTGCTTAAATTGATTTCAATTTATTTTGATTAAAGCGCTTTGCCCCATAATCCCCGGCACAATCATATGTCAGCGTTGGTAATACGGATTTTAATTGAGCAGCCAAAGAGATAGAAATCGCATTTAATAACTGGAAAAGCTATGGAAAGTTACAAAAATCAAAGCAAATCCAATTCCAAAGAGTTGACATTGCAATTGCATTGAAAGTGATCGATTGCGGCTACGGGGCGTATGAGTGATGCTATGAATAGATAGAATAGAATATTCTTCATTATGATTTAAATGTGTCATAGCCAAAAGATAAATAAAATAATTTATACATTTGGCTGCAGCTCTCTCTGGCTGAAAGGTCAACAGCTTTCAAAATTTTGCTGTTGGCCCGAATTGATTTTGTTTTTCAGTGCAGTTATCTGATCTGTGAAGCCAAAATGGCTGAGGGCAGTCAAAAATGTTCGGCTGTGATAGAACATGAAAAACATTCGACATTATTTATCCATTTATGATTGCTGCTGGGTGCTCTGTGACCGGGTTTTAAGTGTTGTAAATGGCTGCAAAATGCACACACGCGTCATTAGTGTCGACAATTATGAAAGCGCATAAAAACACGTTAGGCAGTGGCAGCGGCGTCTGAGGGGGGAGGGGGCATGATTGGCTGGGCGGGGCAGCAGTACCAGCAGCTGATGTTCAGCGTGTGTGAGTGTGGCGCCTGATTTTGGGGCACGCACAGCAAACAAACAAGCAGCAACAACAGCAGCAGCAGCAGCAACAACAACAACAACAACAACAACGGGCAGCGACACCCGAAAGCCCTTTGGTCAACTGTGCGAGTTGTTCGAGTTTTTGCCAGCTCAGCGAACAAACACACAACGTGGCACTTTTTATTTTTCGCCACTTGCCACTTGCCACTTGCCACGCTTGCCACTTGCCACTCGACAACAAAGTGCTGGCGTTATGAAAACGAAAAGCGAATGTCCTCGCACTAGAAAAAAAAACAACAAAAACACAAAAATAGAAAAAAAAAACACAAGCAAACGCAACACAAAAACAAAAAACTGACAGTGATTTTGTAATTAGAGCGCACAGCTGAAGCAGGGGGAGGAGGCGGAGTAGGGCAGAGGCACGCTGTAAATGCGCCGAGTTCAGCATTTGACACTCACAGCAAATATATCCAACTGTAAGTGTGTGCCCCAGTGTGTGTGTGTGTGTGTGTGTGTGTGTGTGTGTGTGTGTGTGTGTGCAGCTTAACACCCAGCTGGATTTGACTGAAGCGTACCAAATTAAGTAGTTTGTGCAAGCCCAAAGCATTGCTCAGTGAAGTGAAGTTTATGGCTAGCCGGGTATATGACGAAAGCAGTGCTAATGGAAGTGAAGATTTCAGTGGTAGTTGAAGAAGAGATAATACAATAATAAAAGAGTAAATTTCAGTGCAATGAAATTTCTATTCTCCATTTTATAAATAATATAAAAATTAAATGAACAGTGAATCTATCTCCATCTTTATACTCGATGCCAAAAGTCTTGTTTGGGAAAACGAAGCTGAAGGCTTTGCTACCTTAGCTCTCTGTATACAGTAGAAATTCGATAGTTCGAATGGCAAGGGGATCCGTTTTTTTCCAATTTACACAGCAATTAAAATTATTGAGAATTTTTGAGAACAAATTTCTTTCAAGGAAATAGAATTTTTTTTCGATTTATCGCGATTTTCGATTTGGTGAGGTACGAATTATCGAGGCTCGACTGTCTATTCTCTCTTCTTATATATACTCACCTATATACTACGATCAATATATTCTAAAAAGCCTATATAAATGATGTATGACCTATGTATATATTCAAAGTAGATCTTGGCCAGTTGAAGCACTAGATAAAATTTTCAACTGACTTATATATGCCAAAAATACTATAAGAAAATCGAATATCATCATAAAATATCAGCTAAGTCACGACTTTATGTATGCCATAGGCATAGCACATTCCCGTTTTACTCAATGCCAAACTTGGCTGTGTGGTAAAGACATCATCAAGTTCTCTGTTTACGTATTCCAAAGATCACTTGGAGCGGCTCTTCAAGATTTCAGCGTGTTCCACGTTTTACCCATGCCAAAGGTACTTCTTATATAACTGAAAATTTCAGCTAGTTTGGTTCACTTTATAAGATTCTCGCTTCTATCTGTCCCAGTTTTGTTCACATCGTCAAAATTGTCAGCTTGGCTGTCAAATTGACATTTCTATCAGTTAGAGCATGCCAAAAGCAATGAAAAGGGCAAGAAAGCTTTCAGTAGCTGTGCCGTTTGAGTGCTCCATAAAAAATGGACGCGAGCCAAACGAGGTTTTTTGTGCTGCTGTAACGGCAAAATAATGTTTTTGTTTTTGCTTTCTTTATATTCTTTTAACCACGATGTAGCAGCAGTAGTTTTTTTTCCATCATCATTCCTTTTACTTGCCTCGCTGCTACTGTGTGGTACGTGCCGCGGCATGGACATCACGCATACGCCGCATAAGCCAAGACAAGCCAATCAAGTGAGCCAACAGCAACGGCAGCAATGGCAACGCCAACTGACAGCCCCAAACGAGTGCATGCAACAACAAAGTGTTGCAAGTGTTGCCTGCTTCATACTTACTTGTTGTAGCTCTGTTGTGAGAAGGAGTAAAACCCATTGAGAGATAATAATAATAAAGAGAGCTTTGTCAGTTTTGTTGATGATTCAAAAGGAACATTTATTTAATTTGCTTTTTGTTTTTGTTTTTGTTGTTGTTCATTTAGTTTGTTGTCGTTTTTGTTGTTTTTCTTTTGGGCAAAAATTGAATTTCTGCATTTGCTTTTTGCTAGCTTAAATTGCCAACCACCCACAGAGTTTGAGTTTTCCGGAAAACCCAAAAAACTGTCGCACGAATGAAACTACATTAAGTGTGTGTGTTTGTGTGTGTGTGTGTGTTTGTGCATGTGTGTTGGGTGGGCAGGGATGTGTGTGTGTGTGTGTGTGTGTGTGTGTGTGCGAGTGTGTGGGTTAGTTTAGCAAATATTTATCCAATACACATACATAGTATACTAGGGTACACACACATATATCTTAAGTTAGACAGAGACAGTGAGTACATCTATATAAAAATTGGGCAGTGTTAAAGAGTGAGAGATGTTCGGAATCTGAATGTTGATAATATTTAGGTTTTTTTTTTTTTTGCTTTGCTGTGGCTTGTGTGCGTGTGTGAGTGTGAGTGAGTGTGTGAGTGTTGTTTTCTTAAAAATACATAGAGAAAACCTAGTTGATGCATATGTATTAGTCATCGTATCCTTTTGCAAAAGTTTTCGATTTTTCGGTATTTGAAGACGAACACAAAAAAAAAAAAACAACAAACAAATATCCCTCAGGGATATTGTTGGCTATTTGTTTTTGCTTTGCTTTTGAGTTGTTCAATTTGATGACAAAATATGCATACATAGCTGGTACATACATGCACACATACATACATACATACATACATAGAGACATTCAGAAGTTAGAGTATTTTATATAAATATATTTATATATGAAACACATTCAGTTAGTTAAGAGTTCTTAGTGAGTGAGTGCTGTGTGTGTGTGTGTGTTTGTGAATTATCTTTAACTATTTAAAACTGTTTTACACTTAGTTTGGGGTATTTTTTGGTTTTCTTCTGTTTGCCATCTGCCTAGCAGCTTCACTTAGTCTATATATACTACATAGAGTTGAGAGATCAGAATCAGAGAATTATTAGCTAGTTTCTGGTTTTCATTATTCGTTTCTCAAGTTAGTTTTTGTTATTTTTTTTTAGTGAGTATCTAGTAGTAGTAGTAGTATTAGTAACATTCATATTTTGGATACCTTCGAGTGCAAAGTAAAATTCAGTTTGTTCAATTAGTGTGCTTAGAAGGAAAACATATAGATGTATATATATTTATATATATAGTAGAGTGATATAGCTTACATAGTTTGATGAAAAAGCATTTGCTGGTATTTTCAAAGAAAAACGTTTGCTTATACAGTATTTTTGATACTTTTTTGGTATTTCTTTTATTTTACAATATATTGTGTAGTTTTTCTTTCGTCTATTTGGTTTTATTGCACATTTTAACAATTACAACAACATTTAATTATTACTTCGTATCTCGTATTTCATGCCGCATATTCTATGAATTCATTTCTTGTTGTTGTTGTTGTTGTTATTTGGATTTCAAGTTGTTGTTTACTGTTTGCATGACTTGCGAGCAACTTTGAGTTGCTCTTAACTTTTAACAGAAATGCAAATAATAACATAAATAGAAACAGAAACTGGAAACAACGTAACGGAACTTCAACTAAAACTAAAGCTGAAACAACAACAATAATATCTTAAGCTAAGCTAGAAACAGGACGAGCAGTTGCAACAAAAATAGAACATAATCAAGAGCAGTAAAAACATAGAAGATACCCTGTAAAAACCGTGTAGACTTAGCTAAGTACAGCTAAGTAGGCTTAGTGAGTGACGTGAGTTCAAGGAGCAAAAGTTGTGAATCTACCTTAAAGAAGTATAAGAGCTTTGTGCGGATGAAGGGCCTTGAAAGTTCTGTTGCCTGTCGAGCTTAAGTTTCGATGTGAGCTTTAAGTCTAAGCAGCTTTCAAAGCGCATGAATACTCGAATGTAGTTTACTGTCAAGAACTTGACAAGCCAAGTTTCTTATTTGCACTTTGTGTTTAAAGAGCTTTTAAGTTGTTTAAAAGCTCTCTTAGTGCTTAATTTTCATGTGTGCACTATACTTCTTCATTGATCATGGTTTGAAGCTTAGACAGCTCTGAAAGCACATTAGAAATTGGCCTGGCAAGTTTCAGATTTCTCTTTAATTAGCATACACTGCATTTATAGTTAAAGTGCGATTGAGATATTCCCTTGAAGCCGCACAAGCCTCTAATAAAACTTCAGGCAGACTGAGTTAGCTGAATTAGTAGTCAGTTTTATAACTGAATTAGTGTGAAGCTGTGTGTGTGTGTATTTGAATTATGCATGTGTGTGTTTGTGTGTGCGTGAGTGCATTTCATGAGATTTAATTTTGGGTTTGCTCCACTTTGTCTCTAATGGAATTTCGTTGATAACTTTTCTAACTTTGACAATTGATTTGAATTTGCATTGCTACGTTTAACAATTGAAAGCAATTTACATTGTCTACCTTTTCACCTGATTCTGATTCTGATTCTGATTCTGATACCGATTCTGATTCCGTTTCTGATTCTGTTACTAATTTGAACTTCAGCTGCTTCAGTGCCTCATATTGACTCGCAATCAGTCGAGATTTTTGTTATTTCTCTTATAAATATCCATATGTGATAATCATATATAATATAATAATATTTAAATGCTCGTTTGGTAAATAAATAAATAAATATATTTCGTTTTTTTTTATAACAATTGAGGACAACATTTGAGAACAAAAGATTCCGCATTTTGTTGTCGCACATTCAAATCTATTCACTGCTCTTTCTCTTTCTCTCTCTCTCTCTCTCATCTTCCTGCTTAATTTAGCTTTTTTCTCTTGTCATATACACATTCAATAAAATATGCATTCTCATTCGCATTCAAGTATCTCTTTTATTCGTGCTCGAGGTGAATATCGATAAACGTATATCTATATATACAAATACGTATATATTCCTTGTAAGCCTGTGTACTTGTCTGTATTCAATTTCTAGCTACTTAATGCTCAACTGTACTTGAACACTTGCATTCCAGCAAATGTGTTCGCTTCAATTATCAGGAAATCCTATTTTGAAATGCAATTGCCTTTCTCTTAAGGGAGAAAACGTTTCTGGGAACACATCTCGAATGCAATTTTGTCTTTTGTTGCCTTCAAGTGGAGTTGGCTGCAATTGTTATTGACTTAATTGGTTTGTTGTGCCACTCAAACGCCTTAACATTTACTTATATAATAAATTGCTATATACTATATTCACATACATACATACATTCATATACATATACATTCATAGAGAATTTGGTAACAGGTAATTCACATTCAATTCTCACATTTAAAATGTAAAAGTTTTCAATTAATTTATCTCACGTAAATCGTCTCTCTCTCTGTCTCTTTCTCTTTCATTCTCCATCTCCCTAATTCAATTGAATACTTAGCCTGCAGTGCTTATCAGTTAGTCAGTTCATCATCATCGTCATCATCGTCATCGTCATCATCATCGTGTTGCTTAGATATACATGCCCAGATCGACGTGAAAGTCCTGCAGATAGGACAACAGCTGCGAGGGCGTTGGACGCTGTTTGGGCTCACAGTGCCAGCAGCAGTTCATTACCGTAAAGCTGCATTTGTGGTTGAGAGGGTGGGTGTGTTTGGGGTTTGGATAAAGGGTTGCATAATTGGCCAATCAAACAGGCTAAAAGGCTACTCACAATTCATCCGGGCAATTGACGGGCTGCTCCAGACGATAGCCGGCAGCCAAATAATTAGTAAGCTCAAATATGTCCACCTCCTCGTGCGGCATCTGGGCCAGTGTGACCAGCTCCCAGTACAGAACGCCCAGAGACCAGACGTCGCCCTGTGTAGTGTAGATCTTCTTCTGCAGCGACTCCAGCGACAGCCACTTGAGCGGACGATTCTCATTGTCGCCGAGGCAATCGTAGTCATCCGGGAAGAGATCGCGCGAGAGTGCGCTATCGCAGATCTTAACGTATGACTCCTCATCGACGCTGTGTGGGGATGTGTGCAAGGCAGTTAATATGGATACTCTGCCCCTCCTCTTCCCCTTTACTTACTAGCAATTGCGTGTGGCCAGATCCTTGTGCACGATTCCCAGTGAATGCAAGTAGGCCAAAGCCTTGGTAATGTGCAAGCCAAACTCGACCAGCTGGCGAGTGCTGAGCGCTGTGCTAGACTCCCTCGACTTTTGCAAGTAGCTGCAAGGCACGTGGAAAATAGAAGCAATCATAAGACAAAGGAATTTCGTAAGGCAGCTTACATCTTCAGGTTGCCCTTGGACGGATAGGGGTAGGCGATCTCGGGTGGGCCGGGCAGCTCGGTGTTGGCCAGCAGGGGCGCTAGTATATGCTGATGACTGACGCCAATTAGCAGTGAGGCATCCTGCAGCAGGCAGGCCACCTGCGTCAGTGAGGCGCCGTCGATGACAGTCTTTACCAGGGCATCGCACGTTTCGCCCAGCTTGCCAGCGTAGATGCGCCCAAAGGTGCCCTCCTTAATCAGCTGTTCGTAGCTCAAGGCGCCGGGCTGCACGCTGGGTATGCGGCGCAGACGCTCCTTGGTCTTATCGCCGTGGCCGTGACTAGCTACTGTGATGGTGCTGCCGGTAATGCCGGCAATGCCACCAAAGAGGCTGCCGCTGCCGTTGCCCCGACTGCTCTTTGGCGTGGACATGCTGCAGGGCTGTAAATGGGAGAATGAGAGAGAGAAGGAGGATGAGATAAGAAATATTTAAAGGAAGGAATTATGGGTCATGGTTTAAATATTGCCAAGGAATGCCTGTGAAACAAAGTATAGGAGTTTTGAAGAGAGGGTGCTGGTGTATGGTATGTTTTCTTATAAGGAAGTAGTCTGCAATTTACAGAAAAGGTTTAATGGGTAAGTAATACCCAAAATAGCAAAGAGAGAGGGAGAGAGAGATAGAGAGAGAGAGAGAGAGAGAGAGAAAAATATTTCTTTAAAGGGACTTATCTGAGGAAACTTATAGAAAGCTTCACAGCAACCGTCGGGTAGAGTAGAATAGAGTCAGTGATTGCCTGGATGGGCTGCCAAAAGTTCCATGTGATTCCCAGGAGGTTTATCAAAATGATTTATAGAAAGTTCTAATAAAACCCTCTATTAAAGCGAGACTAGAACGAAAGATTCCCCTTTGCTTGCCTTAATTATATTATAATCTTAGATAAAATTTACAAGCGAAACCTTTTCACCTGCTGTATGCCCTAATACCTTAACCCATGTGGTGCAGGTGCTCAGAGTGTTTTCTATTATCATATAAAACGAAACTCTTTTGGGGGCCAATTGATGAACTTGGGGCAGCATAGGATGGGGGCTCACAGTTGGATATTACACATTTCGGGGACTCAATGGAAACGCAATTTCATCAACCGGATTTGCATCTTTCAGTTTGCATCCGTTTACCGTTAGTCATGCACTTGGCTGCGCTTCGTTCATTCATTTTAATGAATTGAGTTCCGTTTCCGCTTGAAGGAACTGCTGATGTTGCCAACTGGCTGGCAGTTGGCGTTGCCAACGCCATCAAACGCCTGCTGCCTGCTGCCTGCGCCATAATTTGTGTGTGGCCCTCGGGGAGGAGTGGCAAAGCGTGGGCTGCCCGTAGTGGGTAGACGGGCCAAAGGGAGGGGATGGGCTGGAGAGGGGAAGACTAGCTCTGTATCCGCCAGGACAAGCCGTAGTTGTCTTACGGCATGAATAATTTATTGGTTGGCAAAAAGCTTTAATTCGTCGAGCATTATGTTTGCATAGCCTTGTGCCAGGAGCCACTAGGGGCCAGGGGGCCAGAGGAGCAGAAGCCAAGCCCTAGACCAACACGAAGAACAACAACACGGCATGAAGGCATGAAGGGCGCAGCTGTAGGAAATTGCGAGATGAGTTGTATAAACAACGTTTTTCCCGGTCGGAAACGAGGGGATAGGGAGCACGACGGGCACTCAAGATGTATAAAGAAGATAGCGCGACAACACAGCAGCAGAGCAGCAGCAGCAGCAGCAGGAGTAGGAGCAGGAGCAGCTCCTTAGCCATTGCCAGCAGCTCATTTATTTTCATAAAATTCACACAGCGAAAATCATTTACCCGCCCGTTGAGCTGCAAGGGAACCTAGGAGTCTAGGAGTCTAGGGGGTTAGGGGCGGCTGCTCTAATAAACTCCAAGAAAAATCTCTTCATTTCTTTCTTAATTTGGTGTGGAAAATTTACATAAATGTTACAGCTGCAGCTGGCTATAGCGGCCGAGCCACCTGAGACAACTGTCCAATCATATTCGTTTATTAAAAGTAACAGCTTTATTTGGAGCAGCAGCGTTACATGTGGTCCGCTCTATGGCAGTGGCAAAGGGAGTTGGACAAGCGACGGGCAAGAGCAACGTTGACAGCAATAAAAACAATAGTTGTTCGCCCATTGTTAGTGAATTTCATTCATTATTGCCTTTATTGCCTTTTCTGGCTGCCCCTAGCTGTCTGCTCTTCCGGCTGTCTGTCCGTCCGTTTGTCTGTCTGTCTACTGGTCTGTGTTGTGTTGTCCTTTATTTTATTTGTTCCTGCTCGTTGTTGCTGTCGCACAAAGAAAATTCAATTAAAACGCAACAGTATCGCACTCCATCATCAAAGCTCCAACTCTAGCTACTGCGAGTGTGACTGCTGCTGCTGCTGCTGTTGGTGCTGCTGTTCCTGCTCCTGCTGCATGTCCTGCTCGCTGGTTCAAGCTCATCAACGCGCTCGATTGTCCCCTCGTCAGCGGCTGCTCGTGAATGCGACGCTGGCGATAAATCCTTGTCGCCCAGCTGGTCCAACGACATGCAAAGCGCTACACACACACAATGCCACTGAGAGAGAAGGGCAGATAAAGAGAGAAGAAGGGGGAGAGAGGAGGAGCTGTGTACTACAGCGACAAGCAACAATGTCACCGACAGGCACAACAAAAGTGTCTGCGGGCTGCACCGGCGTCGCTTTTATGACCCTAACTAAGACAGTGGGAGAGGCTGGAACTTCCTTTGCTTGTTCGGCTTGTAGAAACAAGCTAAAATTCCATATATATACACATAGATGTACATATGTATCCCTATATATATGTGTGTGTCTACATATATCAATTTGCGTGTTTTTATTGCCTTTTGTTGTTCTTAGCATTAGCTGGGCGAAGAAGTTGCCCTCCCTAATGAGCCGAGTTCAAGTGTAATTAGATTTTATGTAAGCAGCTTAACATTAAACGCAGTGTTGGATAATGCAGCAAAGTTTGTGTGAATTGAATCAATGCAGAAAATGAAAGTGGCACAAAAAGCGTGCTAAATTTAATTATAAAAGTAATGCGAGAAAGGTTTTTAAATGCTTTTCTATGCAATTTGCTAGTGAAGATGAAAAGGAATTCTAGGAATGAAGTCGGAAAAAACTTATAGAGCAGAGCTGTTCTATGAATAGGAAAGGAGCAGAGCTGTTCTATGAATAGGAAGGAGAAATTAAAAGAAGTAAGGTAATGTACTACAGAAGTATTAGGTTGGTCGGAAATTGATTTTTAGGCTTGTTCATTTACTTTAGTCTATGCGAGACTGAATTATACTTGAAACTCTCTAGCGATACCGTTGGATAGATGGACAATCCCCATCAGTTCGTGTCGTTGTTCTTATTTGAATCGTGTATTGCTGATTGGGGTTGAGCAGGAAGCGAAGCAGACGAACTGTCAACAATTAGATAAGCACTTCTTATGAGGTGCTGAAATGCCTCCAGATGGCTTGATTCGATGTATCAATATCAACCTATATAGTATTTATAACTGAAAACTACGGCTCTATTCTATAAAAAATATTTTTAGTTATTTCAATATAACAGTAATTGTTCTATGTAAAATTGTATTCTGAATGATAAGGGAAATATGATTATTCGGAGTAAGAAAATGAATTGCAAATGAATGGTGTCTAAGACTCGACTAGACTCAAGATGGAACTACGTGGCTATCTAACCTCCTACATTCACAAATCAATCAAAGAGTTTGACTTCTAGGATACTAGTGCATCCTCATACCTTCTGTCCAGGCTTTATGTGCTTTGAAGCATAAGCCGAATCAGCATATTCAAATTTTGCAATTGGAATCCTTTGACCTTTTCTTCATTAAATGCGAGCCAATAACCGAGAGTTGCTCTGGCAATGGTTCACTCTGGTTTACTTTGGTAAAAGCACATTTAAACTGAATCACATTGCCTTTGTTTTCGATCAAATAACCAGCTGATGCCAATTCGTATGTCAATCGAGCACTTTCGACTGCATGCGTGAGTGTTAGCAGATGAGGAAGAAGAAGAATCAGGGTGCATTAAGCCAACCAGAGCAACAGCAGGAGCTGCAGCTGCAGCACCTGCAAAAGCCCACAAATAGTCAGCTCCAATGACTGGAAAAAGCTAAGCTATTTCTGTGAGAAATATTAAAAGTGCACGTCAAATAGACAATATTGCCATGGCTCTTACTGCTGCAGTTGTTGTTGTTGTTGTTGTTGTTGCTGTTGTCTCTTATTGCTTAAACTGAAAATTGGAAAACATCCGTTTGCTGTCAACTGTCTGACTAGTCGCAGTTCTCTCATCTCGCTTTGCATTGACACTCAGATGAGGCGAGTTGAGCCGAGGGCTATATAGCAGAGTGAGCTAGGGGTTGGGATAGCTTTTTGGGAGGGGTGGGGGGCAGCGCAACTGCTTGTTAGTATAAATTTGCACAAATTTAAACTGGATGTGGCTCGGGTGTCAGAGCAACAACGGCTGGGTGGGTGAGCGGGCTGGGCGTTATTGTTGCCAACAGAGGCGACACTTGGCAACACATAACCAAAAAACAGCAGCAGCAGCAGGAGCAGCAGCAACAGCAGCAGCAGGAGCAGCAGCAACAACAATGTGACTCAAAGCGTTGGCCATGTTGACGTTTGGTTTGCAGCTGTTTGGCTTTGTTGTGACATTTCTAATGACAACACAACACGGCAGTCAGCGGAGGGGTGGCTTGGTTTGTCAGGGGGTTGGCTATGCAGCGTAGCTGCTGGTCTGCAAATGACATGTACACCACACTAACACACACAGACCAAGACACACAAAGACACACACACACACACGCATTAGCAGACATACACAAATTTCGGCTCACACACTTGACAGGCGTCTGATTTGTTTATGTCACTTGCAGCTCTATGGCTGCCCACGCACACACACACACACACACACACTTCCTGCCTCTGCACAACCACAACGTTGAGTGGCGCTCCCTCGCAACTGGCTCGTAATTAAAAACGCTTGATGACAATTTTGCCAACATTTCGTGTTGCTTTTGCAGCGTGTTTGAGCTGCAACCAAAATGCAGCTGAAACTTTCAGCCAGCAATAGCAACAGCTACAGCAACAGCAACAACAACAAACAATGGCGACAGCAGTGACAAGCACAGTGACACGAGAATGCGTAAAAAAAGAAAAGAAACTAAAGCAAGGAATATTTAATTGCTGTTGATTTGATTTGAAATAGTTGGTTTATGCAGCATATTGTATTCGGTATATTTTGAGTATTTTTTGTGTGCTATACATATTTAATTGCTCTATAGCATATTCAGTAATATATTCAGCTGTATTTAAATTATTTCTCAACTGTAACTTTAAGCATGTTCAAATTCATATTAAATTATTTAAATCCTTTGCTCGTTCATATAATGGAAACAAATACTTTTCTTATAAACTCTGTGATTAGGGTCTGAGCCCTGGGGCTCTATTGTATTTGTGGGCCAAGGCTTGCTCGGCGACACATATTAAACTCGAATTAAGGAACAACCCTAGTCAAATTTCGACTACCAAAGTACCCCACTGTGCACACACTTTACCCCCCTGCGTACCACTGTGCATTCTTGAAATTGTTTTAGCTTGCTAGAAAATTGCTGTTGTTGCTGTTGCTGCTGCAGCTGAACACAATTGCCAGAGGCAATGCTGCCAGCAGGGGGCAGGGGCAGAAATTACGTATACGAGCTGTCACCTTGGCATTAGACGTGACGAGCGACGAGCCAGGCATCTTAATGAACTGAAATTAGTCAGTTGACAAAAGTGAACTTTGTGCCCAAGCCCGAAAGAGACTTAGCTCCGTAGCTCAATTATATTTCAATTTACCTGACGGGGGCTGCCTACCTGCCCGTTAACTGAATTCCTATTTGCCAGCTCCTTGGATTGAGCCTTGGAATTTAAAGTTTTTATCATTCTCCCAGTCTCTTTCTTATGCAAACTCGCATTAATTTCGCATTTGTCTGCAGGTTCGAAAGAGAGAGAGAGAGAGAGGTAAAGAGAGAGCGAGAGCGAACGAAATGATTTTCTAATTGGCAGGGAAACTAATTTGAATTTTCGTTTGATTTATGCCTGATCGATTTGATGCATGGCAATTTGATGAGTTACTCGCCTTATTGCTAGACCTTGCCTCTCTCCCCCCCCCTTGTTTGTATTTGAGCATTTAATGGCAGCTCGGAAACTTTTTGAGCTCCTTTTGTTGTGGTCTTAAGCATCTAATGCATAATTAAAGGTAACGAAAGGCCTTTCGGGCCTAATTAAAGCTGCCGCCTAATTAACCCACTTTGCCACCTACACACACCCACACCTACACACATATCTAATTACAGGTAATTGGCTTTCAATTAGGCATCGCGTGCCATTGGTCACGCCCATCACTGAGTAGCTGGGGATTGCTATTCAGTTGTGGTATGGATAGCGTAAAAGCATAATTTTGTTCAAATTAATTTGAATGTTATTTAAAATGTGCCTGATTAAATTGCCTAATTAAATATTTCTTACACAAAAGACATGAATATTTCATAGGAAAATCTACGCAAGGCGTTTTCTTATGTGATGTACATAAATAATGCAAGCAGAGCTTTTAGTTTGAAATGAATTTCAATAAATAATTGATTTTGACTAAAGATATTTTCCTCAAATTTCTAGCTACACTAAAGAAATTCTTGGGCAAATCCGATTTAAAAGTCGAATATAAAATGTGCTTTAAGGCTCTTTGTGTGCGCTGCTGTGCTTTACGGCTCTTTTGCTCTTGTCCCACAGCTTAAGTGAGATTGTAAGCCAAAGTTATTGCTGTCAACAGATGCCAATGCATCATTGAGCCACGTTTCGCGACTTTTCTCTCAATCTCTTTCGAGCTATCCATTTTCAGGCAGTGGCTCAGGTGGTGAACGCAAACTGACCACAATGAAATCAGCCGAGAGCAACAACCAACGCATCCATCTTATCGCATTGCCTACCATTCGCTGTCTGGTCAAGTGTGGGCGGTGTGAAAACCGCAAAAGCCTCCGACACAGTCGGCAACTGACCAAAATCCCACATAAAGCCCATGTCTGACAGCCGAAACTCTTCTACTCTCTCTCACTCTACCTCTCTCTCTCTCTCCTCATCTGTCTGGGTAACTGAGTAACCGGGCAACAGGCAGCAGGCAGCAGGCAACAGGCAACAGGCAACAGGCAACGGGCAACAAAGGCAACATCCGTTGCCGACTTCCGTTTGTCTCTTTCTGCGGCTGACAGGAAGCAATCAATAGTGTAATGGCAGACAAAGGCATTCACCATAGTTTGGCACTAGCCTGCAGAAGAATAGAGCCAAGTCCTTTCCAGGCAACGGCAAAGCAGAATTGGTGCAAAAAAGCAAAGCCAAAGATATGCAAAAAAAACTGAACAAAAATCAACTGACAGTTGCGCAATTTGTCAACCTCTGCCGAGGGCGAGTGCCGTCAGTGGTGGTTCCCTTCATCCGACAAGACTTAAGCCTCGTCGCATATTAAATCATCTCCATATACCCCTCTGGCTGGCCTCGGGCTTTGTCGCAAATGTAAATAATGCGTTTTAATCAAAAGAACAACAGTGAAAAATCCATTAACGGCGTACGTGCCGCACACCCAGTGGCTCCGCTTACCCCAAAGTGGGGGCACAGTGGTCCTCGTACCCCCCTTGGACTTACCCCGTCCACTATTTAACTTGGCTTGTGTCTAGGCTTAGCTTTTCGCATGCTGCGCGCGTCATTTGCAGGTTGATTTACAAATTTCTTTAATGGGGCGACGACAACATTTTTAATTAGCACCTGTTCAGGTTGCACGAATCTCTCTCGTAATCTCCATAAAATACTCTAGCCAGGGCGTGCTCCATGGAAATTAATTTCCAACTTTGTGCCGCTTCTCCTATCTTCCGCATCCCTGCCTCACGCACTTTTACAACTTCGCCTCCCTCAAATAATGCCATTCGAATGCGTGGCGGGGCTTGGAGGTGGAGCTGGAGGTGGAGCTGACTCTGTTGCTGCCTTCTAGTTAACCCATTCGCTTCTGGTGCTTGCTCTCGACATCTTCAACCGCAGCAGCCACTTATGCTATCCTCTCTCTTTCTCTCTTTGATCCCTCTTCCCTAAACCACTTGAGCTTAGTCCTGATCCAATATCCTAATGCCTTTCTATGTTTGTTGCTGCGTGTGCAGCTATCCTAGCAGCGAGCTCCTACTTTGACTCCCCGCAGTCAGTGGTTCCCTTTCCCTTTCCTTCTCCCTCCCCTATTGAAGGCCTTTGTTGTTGCTGTTGCAATAATATTTTGCAAGTGTTTCTAAACAAGCACAAAGTCATGTTTCAGCAGCTGTAGTCTGGCTTCTTCTTCTTCTCGCTGCCGTTTTTATTGTTGTTTACCCTTCGTCCCCTTGGCTTGAGCTGTAATTGTTGTATCTTAGTCCCCGCAGTCGTTAGCTAAACTTTCGCTGAACATTAAAGCAATTTGGCCAACATTTATAGACTGATTTAATAGAATCAAAAGGGAGTCACTGAGAGTGGGGAGCGAGTGGGGTAGAGAGAGGCATGTTGTGGGCAAAGGAGCCCCACACAAATGAGATATTTCCACACAAGTGAGCAGATCAGAGCCGACAACATTTCAGTGTGTGTGTGCACTTGGATATAATTGTTTGACTAAATGAGTGCGTCGCTCCTAGCTCGCCAGCCCCCTCCACCCACCAATTCTCTTTGCCTAGTGCTTCACCAGACACTCGTATGAGTGGGTTTGGAGATATAACAAGAGTACAGCAATAATTATGGCAAACACTCCCTTCACCCACAGCCCCCGCTCTACACACACAAGAGCCATATGCAATTTTGGGGCTCCACTTTTGTATAAATTCACTTAATTCCTCGCCCTCACCCTGAGCAGCAGATAGCCGCAAATGGATATGACTCTTGGTGCTGTGCATTATCCCAGACATCCAGATATGCCAGATATCCATGTGAGGGAATGAGTACGTGTGTGTGAGGCGAGTGCCGAGTGCCGAGTGCCGAGCTGCTCCCCAGCCAAATGGCTCGAAACGGTTGCCATAATGAGGATGAAATTGAAGTCTAAACAAACAGAAATCGTTTGGCCAAATAGCTGAGGCCAGGAACCGTTGGAGGAATGTTGAGGAATAAGCAGCAAATAAAAATCCAAAGGAGTCTCCATGGAAATTGAATATTTAATTATGCGTCGATGGAAATTGCGACTCGAGATGGTGACGAAAATGGCCCAAACAATCATGAGAATAGCGACAGAGTGAGGGAGGAGGTGCCACACTTTGTTGTCTAGGAAAAATGTAAACGCTGCTTGATTTTGCCAGAGAAATGGAAAAGAAGAAGCTGCTAAATAATTTATTCTAATTTGCGACAGATTTGCCAAGGCCAAGAAGTTGAAATGTCAGAGGGATTCCCAGAACAGAATACATAAAAGAGATTCCGAGGAAGGAAGGGAGGTAGAGAGAAATGTGGAAAAAAGTTTTGTGGGGTCTCGTAAAATTAATTCGAGGGGACTCGTAATAGATAATTCTTAAGGTTTGATAGCTGCCACATAAGGATTCATCTGCGGCTTTTGGTTAGTTTAAATTTAGTTCCCTAATTTGCACCCAGCGAGCAGCTCAACTGGAAGAAAAACAAAGGGACGAGTAAGCACAGTCGGCAGCACCTTCCGCTTATCTAAACAGACTCTCACGCTTCTCCACAGCTACTCTTTGCTCACACATATAAACGCGTATCTACATAATTCTCGTCTGCCTTTAGTGTGTGTGGGGCTCGCAGCACGGGCTACGTGAGCGCCAGGCAAAACTTGCCCCAACCCTAAACAACCCCACTGAACACAACTAGAGCTGGCAGCGTGGCAGCCTGGCAGATTGGCACCCCGGTGGGTGGAAAGGAGAGTCCCATATTTATGAATGGCTCTTGTTTCGAGTTTAACGCACTTCGGGAGCTTTATCAGCTCGTAAATATAAATTAGAATTTAATTTTTATCGACGTGGAAAGGTGGCTCGAGTCGGGATTTGTATGTGGATGTGGACGCAGACGTTGCTGCTGCCTTGGGAGCAATCTGGGAGCAGTCTGGTCTGGTGTGGTGTGTGCCACAAATTGGCAATGGAGTGGATCTGGTGGCCTAGGCAACCGAGCGAGAGAGCGAGCGAGCGACCGAACATCAACGGGATTCATATCCATTTGTGCCTGGCACGTGTCGCAACATATCAAAGGCATTGATTTACCTGAGGGCAGTTGGTTGCTCGATGCAACCCCCTTGGAGGTAATTCATGTGGCCACAGAATCAGATGGAGATTGGGACTCACCTGGGTTAGCTGCGAGGAGGCGTAGTAGGAAATCCTCGAGGGACACACCGATTCTGGTTTCGAGTAAATGGTCTCGCCGGCCTGGTCGCCCATGGGCAGCAGGGCGGTGGCGTAGGGTGTGGGCGTGGGTGAGCTGCGGAAGCCTGTAGGGAAATGAATAGTTCGAAGGTCGATGAAAAAGGAAGGGGGTTATTGAAGAGGGGGAAAACTTACGGTCGAATATGCTGCAGGACTTTTTGGTCTCCGTTGGATACTTGTTGAGGCTGGCAATGGTCGCATAGGAGCCGGTGGCACTCGGCGGTCGTCCGAGAGGATCAAGGCGGATAAACACGTTCTGATGGCTGCCATAACCCGCTGTAGTGAAGCTGGTGCTGAGAATGAAATGCGAATGAAGGGTTAACAGTTAGGTAGATAATTAAATTGATGTGCCAATCAATCAGACTTACTGTAGCGAATCCTGGCGTAGCTGCTTGCGAGCCCGAACATACATCATGCTAGCCACGAGGCCTACGGCCAGGACTAGGCCCAAGGCACAGGCAGCGGCGCTCATCAGAGCGGGTCCCTGGGAGGGGGCGTGGGCAGGCGCAGGTGACTGATTCGGTTCTGGGGAGATGCCTGGAATAGTTGTGGTAATGGAAGAGAGATATAAGCGAATGACAATTGGTAATGACAGAGGATTGGGAGCTTACCCTTGGCACAGATCTTGTTGCGCTTGAAGTGGAGTCGGGTGTCGTTAAACCGGGGAGGTCCTTGTACCACCATGTTGACATTGACCGGCAGTTGGAGGCTCACGTTTCCCGTGCACGGGAGGTACACCAGGAACGACTCGATCTCCTGCGGCACTATGCCCTTGTGGGGAATGCTCAGCGTAGGTGTGCCCAGTGCGTCCTGGTCGGTGGCGTACTCGATGCTGATTGTATAGCGCAGCTGTCAGTGAGTTGGCCAGTTAATGGAGTGCAAATCAAATTTTCAAGTCGGGTAGAAGAGGTGGGTAGTGGCTTACCGGGTAGCTGATGAGACTCTGCCAGGAGAACTCCAGCTCGTGAACATCTGCCGGGACGGGAACGGTGAAGTGCATCGCGTATGTGTTAATGGCTCCCTCGTGCACGTAGAACAAATCCGCCTCCAGCCCTATGAATGAGAGTAAAGAGCATAGTGAAGATGAGATTAGGTTTCCGATGCATTGCAGCTATAAAGAGAAAGTTTATTTCACAATTTGCTTTGTTACAGTTTCCCTTCGAGTCCCTTCCCGGGATTTTCTACTGCTGTGCAAACTTTGTGCATTCTCTGTTTACTTTCCTCGCAGTTGATGGCTCTCTTGCTCTACCCTCCCTCTCTGTGTACCTTTCAACTTCAACGGAAATTGATTTCCTCGACGATTCAAGGGGGTGGAAGTAGGTTGGCAGTGGGTGAGCGAAGTTCGGTAAACAAAAACCAAGACACAATAATAATCGAAATCGAATCCGTCACCAGCAGGCGACAATGCAAAGGGCGTCAATTGGTTCTCGCTCTCGATTTCTGCTTCAAATGGTGCGCGACAGACACCCGAGGGGACCGAGAGAACGAAGGGATTCACGTGGGGTGGGACGAGATATTAAAAGGTGTCAAGTGTTGTCTAACTCGATTCGAGACGAGACCAGGCGAGACAGCGAGCAACTCATCATCATGCTTCGCTTTGTGTAACTTTAACTAGCTTCGGGAACGTCCTAATCTCTGACCCCGACCCTGGGAGCTCTAAGCCGCCGTCCCTCACTCTATTGGCAGTGAAGGACGAGCTGTTCAAGTTAAAAAGACGTGAAATTAAATTTCTTCATCCGCTTTCATTGTTGTCTCTGCCTCTGTCTCAGCTCCCGTCTTATGTTGCATCATTTACTTGCTGGGATCAGGCCTTGCTTTGCATTGAAAGTCGCAAATGCTGTTTACTCTCCTTAACTTGACTACCACCAGCCCTCCTCCTCACCTCTTCCTACTCCTAAGTTTGCCATTCATCTTTTGACTATGCGTCTGAGCCGGATGTTGAGTGTTGCGTTTCCGGTGGAGGCAAAGGCAGGGGACGGAGGAGAATGAAAGAAGCGCGTATGTGCGTGCATTTAGGAGAGATGGAACAGCGCTCTCTGCGTTCTTAAAACAATTTCAAATCCAATTATAGAACAAGAAAAGACATTTTTCGTTAGCTTCCTTCTATTCACTACTCGTCTAAGAACTTCCCCAGTTCGTACGCCGTTTTCCTTCACAGTTTCATTTTGTTTTTGAATTCGAAATTGTTATGCACCCCGCTGACTATCCTCCAGGCAGCCAAAGTGTGCTACTTTCCTTTTACATTTTCCGGTTTCCGTTGGCAAACTGCACAGAAAAACAGAAGAGGTAAGGAGAGAGAAGAGGGGCTGCAATTGACTCTACTTTGATCCCTCTTTATTCATCCATTTTGGGAAATACGCCACAGACGAAACGAAAAACACAAACATAACCTCAAAGTGGCTCACATTAAACATGCACAAACACACGAAAAGGACAATGTCACTTAGCTCGAGCTGAGTCCTAGGAAAACAATGACGAAAGGTTAGACAAGGTGATATCAGAGTGGGAAGTGCACCTTGTCCAACCAGAAAGGGAAAAGGGGAGGAAATGCACTTGTGCTGCTTTAATTAATTCAGCTCTGATTGGATACTAATGTGATTCTCTCTCAAAGAGACTTTCAGCTTTTTGATTGTCCTCCTGGGCGAATTTAAGCTACTGCCTGAAACGATTTTAAATTTCGTGAGATTCTCTTCGTTCTGCAACTGGAGATAAAAAGGAGAGCCAACTTGGCTACGGTTGGGTCCAAGTCTTGTTCCGTCGAACTTTGGCCGTCTTTCATATCACGCGCCTTGCACAGCGCCAACTTTGCCGTCGCTTTGCAAAGTTTTTAGCTCGTTCAGGAGTCGTCCCAGTGCCTTGTTCCAGATAGTTCCTCTTTTCGCCCTGCTCTCCACCATAATTATAATACCTGCGATTGTCTGAATGGCTTCGCCACACACACGTGACGCTGCAACCGCAGACGCTCGCTCGCAGAGTTGGAGGAGGGGGATAGAGATAGAGGAAGGATCGGCAGAAGGGCTCCGGCTCGGCTTTGACAATAGCATCACACAATTTGCATAAAAGATTAAGAGGATAATTAGTGTCATTAGCTGAGCAGTGCATTCCCTGAAATTATCATCTCATCTGTCCTCTCTGCCCTCTTCCACTGTCTAGGTGACACCTCGACAGGGCTTATGCCTTTACAATGAATGCAGTTCTCTATAGAATAGCCATCGCCTTCGCTCCTTGAATCAAAGTCGAGCTCGACGTTTAATTGGCACAGTTTAAGAATTGTTCACGCCCTTTCTTTTTGCTTTTCTCGCCTTGCTCAGCAGTAAGTCGAATCGACCCAACTCTATTGAGAGAGAGAGAGAGAATGGGCGTAAAAGGTCGAGGGTTGCTTTATTAATGCGGCGATTTTCGGGCTGTTTTCTATTCATTAAAAATAATTTTCTTTTGCATTAACTTTTAATTTAAAGGGAAATTTTCAGCCAAAAAGGTGGGAGCATGCTCTAGACCTAGAAACAAGTCCTGTTCGGGCCTGGGTTCCTGTTCGCTCTCAAGAAATGTGCACATCAAAGTGAAACTTGTTGAAATTGCATTTTTACGCACCCTTGCACAGCACGGGGGAGGTGGAGTGGGTAGGTGGGGCAACCCTCCCTGACTGGTATATGGAGCTGGTGTCGCTGGCAACTGTGGGTCGAAAATTGCTCGTTGCTGGGACGACGCGACGCAATGGAGGGCAGAGCGGAAAATCTTCAGCAAAAGCGTAAAAAATATTTAATTTTAATGTTGTCGTCTCTCCATCGAATCGAGACACATATATATATACATATACATATATATAACTGTAGTTAGGAGCAGCCAGAAAAGAAATCGTTTAACTCATGTTTACAGCTCGCTGTATGGAACAAACTTACAGATTGCGAGCGGGAGGAACAGGGAGAGGAAGAGGAAGAGGAGAGGACGGCGTTTGAAATAGCAGAGCGAACGCTGTACTCGATTTTTATTGTGGGAATGCATCACGTCAATCACAGTCACGCACTGAAGGAACTGCCAGGGAGTGAAGTTATTCGAGAAATGCGTATGCTGAATAAGGGACGAGGAACTGAAACAGGGAGAGAATCGGCAGCTGGAACGGGATGGGCATTGGAGATGGAGCTGGGCCATGCAGCCGTCATACACATTCCACTTGAACAAATAGCCATAGAGACATATGCAGGGGCAGATGAGGAGCCCTGAAAGTAAATCATGCAATGGCATGTCGCAGTTGTCGGAGAGGGAGGCGGAAGTGAGGAGCGAGCTGGGCGGGTCAGTTTGTTTGATTTCATGCTGCTTGTTAATTTTGAAATGGAAAACAAGCCCAGAGGGTGGCAAATATTATAAGGGAGGGGGTGTTAACTGGTCGTTAAAACATAACGAGCTCTGGGAAAGGGGCGGAGTGGAAGATGAGGAAGAGGCGAGTGAGAAAAGGAATCTATGTGAATCGCGCATAGCACAGGAAATTACACAGAGCAACAAGCAAAGTGGAAGACTCTTTGAGCTGTCGCTAATGAAATCCGATTTGCATTCAAAGACGTGAAGGGGGTGAGGGGCCAGCGCATGCTTTGTGAAGTGTCAATTGCCAGGGCGAGTAGCGAGTAGCGCATGGCTGAGCGAGCTCGAATGCAATCTCAGAGTGAACTAGAGAAGGAATAGATATAAAGAGAGAGAGAGAGAGAGAGGAGGAGAAGGACAGGGGGAGCTGGAGTCGCTGACCCAGTGACGTGGGCGACAGCTGCAGCTCAAAGTTCCTTGGCCATTCATCAATCTCGGATCCGTGTGGCACTTGTGTGGATTATTTTTATGCTGTTCAACTAATTGAAGTGCCGTGATTTGGCGATTAGCAGCGAGTGGACTGGGACAAGGACTGGGTGTACGATTGAGCCTGCATAATGAGATTGAAGCATTTTGCTCCAATTACAGCTAAGTGCCGGAAAATGCTGTGCACAGCTAACGCATGAATGATGGACTCTTGGCTAGAGGGAGGGCGGAGGCAGAGTAAGGGATTCCTAGGAACCGCCTTGGCTCACATTTTGGAGCCATGAACCATTAATCAACGAGAGGCAGCAACACGACGTCATTCCGCCTTGGCACGCCGAATGAATGCCTATTACTGTAACTATTTTCGAGGACATGAATTGGGTAGGAGCTGGGGCTGTGGATGGGGCTGGGATTGGGCCTGGCACAAGGTCGATCTGGAGCCACTTGAATAGCTGGCGCCATCAATAACGAGGCCTCGCGTTGAGCAAAACAGCAAAACAAACAACAAAATGCGCCGCACCGGACTGTGAAGTCGTTAGCAGAGAAAGGGGAGGGGGAGCGGGAGGATGAGAGTGGGGCAACTAGGCGAGAGCAGGAGGCGGACTACTTGCAGCTGTCAACAGGGTGGCAAAGGTGCGAGGGTGGCTCCGTCTACGGCCGGAAATCGATTTGTGTGGATTTGTTTTCTTCCGTGTTTTCGCGTAACTTTTGTGGTCGTCCAACCCCGCGCACTCCTCTTCCTCTTCCTCTTCATCTATATCGTCGTCGTCCTCGTCGTCGTCACGGTCAACAATTATTTCGGAACTATTAATGACTGCGACGTGGTCTGTGCCTAAGCCCCCGCCTCAACTTGTTTTGTTTGTTTCTCCTGCCGAGGAGCAATGAATTTGTCCTGTCGCACTTTGCCATTCAGCTATTAATCATATCAGTGGGGCGGAGCTCTGAGTTGGTTCCGACGATTATTTTCGAATCGAAATGAGATTGCGCTACCCCCAAATATGGGACTCATATGTATAGACTTACCCATCAGCTTCATCACTTCGTGGTGACTGATGAAAATGTTGAGATATCCGCTGACCGGAGGCAGCTGCCAGGAGAGCAGCGCTGTCCAGAGGAGCTGCAGCAGCAGGCAGCAGCTGTTGGCCATGATGGGCAGTAGGAGCTCCTCCTCGCTGCTCTTGTCGGTGTTATTTTGCGGGAGATGCTTATCTGCCTGGGATATGTGCAGTTAATAACTTGTCAGTGCATGTGACGCCGCAATTGGCGCTCATTTCAGGGGGCGTGGAGCTCGCCTTTGGCTTTGTGGCAGCCAATTTCAATGTGTGTCCATTGAAGCGTTCCGCAGGCACAGACGAGACTCTTCCGTTCAGTTTTGATTTGGTTGCCAGCTGCCAGTTGCTGCCAGTTGGCAAACAGGCGACGCGGCTCTAAAAGATGCGTTAAAATCAAATTCCGGCTACGGCTACGGCTACGTCTATGGCAACTGCTGCTAACAGTTCCGGATGCAACCACAAAGCGACGAGCGACGTCGAGCAGAGCTCTACGAAATTTGTGTCTGGTAAATTTTGGAACTTTTCAGCCGCTGCAGCCTCTGTCCCTGCTCAACTTTTCCAGTTTTGTTTTTGTTGCGGTTGCGTCTGTTGCTGTTGTTGTTGTTGTTGCAGTTGTTGTTGTTGTTGCTGTTGTTGCTGAATTCGGCTGTCGACTGCAAGCGCCATCAGCATTTTCGCATCTGACTCTGACTCTGCACGAATTTCGTTAGCTTTTTTATTGGCCAGCTTCTACCCTCTTCTGTGGCTGCTTCTCTCTTGACCAACTGCTACTCCTGCTGGTGGCTTAGCTCGTCACGTTGGCAACGTCTCGCCCAGTGCCAGTGGCAGTTGCTAGTATCGAGCATGTGTCCAGCCTGGCTAGCTTGTCCTGGTGGCCTTTTTGTGTCGTCTGCTCGACTGGTTGTCCGGCTGGCCAGCTGCTGCGTTCGGAGCAGAGTCCTGTTGAATAGAAAGTGATTTAGTTGAGTTTTCGGACAGGAGTCGAGTGGTGACACTGTGTGTGGCGTGTGGCTGGAGAGAGGGGAGTGTGTGGTGCTGTGGTTGAGTGGCTTTGTTGTTTGTTTCAAAAATAATTCGTGCTGCTCAAAGAAAGTTTCTGCCTGCAAAAGTAATTACAAAGTTGAAAAAAGATTAACAGCTTACAGAAACGCGCATCGGAGCTTGTGGAGAAGAGGAGGAGGGTGAGTGTGGGGGGAGTGGCAGGTGGTGTATCCTTTGCTGATTAAAAGTCACACGAGTTGCTTCGACTGGTGTTTTAATAAATTCGTGTTAATATTTTGTGTGCTTTCCACTTTTTAAATTATGCAGAGGGGAGAAGGAGGAGGAGGAAAATAGGAAAAAGTTTTGCGTTGCAGAAATGTTTGTGTGGATTTTGTGGTTCAAGTGGTTCAGTTGACTCTCCCTTCGCCCCTCTTGCTGCTGGTTTCCACCTTCTGCTGCTTGCGTGTGGAATTCCAGGTGCAGTTAGAACCAAAATCAAAACATTCGGCCAGGTGGAAAGTCAAGAGTTGGCATGGAAATGGAAATGTGAGTGGAAAGTGGAGAAGAGAGTCGGAAGAAGGGGCAGGAAGAGGAAGAGTGGGTGCAGCAGTCAAGGGCCTCCAAAATGAAATTGTTGCCAAGAAACCGAACTCCAGTTCCACCTACTTGCACTTTGCGCCCCTCTCACTTCCCTTCATATGCTGCCTGCTCCTGCCACACTATGCAATATCCATGGCTGCATATTGGGAATAGTTGCTCGGTTTTTGGCCGCAATAAAAATCGAAATCAGAAAACTTTGTTGCCTCTGCTGCCTTGCAGCCAACGAAAAGTGCTGAAAGTCTTGCAATGCGCGGTCAAGCCAGTTGTGGGCGTGGCAGCAATGCAGCCATGGAATGTGGAATGCAGAATATGCCAGAGATTTAATTAAACTTATCTGCGATGAAAGCAAATACCACAAGGAAAGGCCGAGCGAGTAATCCCTTGATTAAGATCCGTATCATCAGCCCGTCAACTACCGTTAAGATTCCTGCCACAGCCCAAGCTAAAGTCGATGGCATTCAGCAGATTCATTAATAATTCAAAAGACAAATAACAAAATGAAAGTACACATGTGAATGGGTGAGTGGATGTATGTGTGTGTCTCTTGTGTGTATTTGTGTTGACATTGCGAGCAATGTAACTGATTTAAATGGAGCAGCAGACAAACAGCCAACAGCCAGCAGCCAAGCTGCCAACCAGTCAGGCTGCCAGGCAGCGCGCCGCATCACTCGAGCTGCTGGAGCCGCCAATTCGCGAGCGCGTGACAGAGACTCGCAGTGAGAGACACAGCAGAGACCCTCCGAGTCGAGGGGGAGAAGTGGAAGAGTCGCAAATCATCATCGATAACATATTAACGACGTCAACTCAATCATAATCAAAAGGAAGGATAAGAGGGGGCGAGCGGGGCTGGAAGGTGTTTGTCTTCCAACTGGGGACAGCGAGTTGTCTGTCGTGGAACTGGGGAGCCAATGCTGAAAATTTTCTGCTTAGTCACACGCATCATCTGTCTGGGGATCCACGCCTAGACACATCTTCCTCACCCGCCCACTAGCTTCGGTGACAAATTATGCGCCGGGCTTTGTCTTCGGCAGCTAAAAGATGATGTTCAGAAAAACGTCCGCTGCTGTGGCTGCTGATGATGATGTGAGTCCTGGCAGTTGTGACAAAAAACTTTTCAATTACATAATTTGCCGTCTAATGAATAATCATCTTTCATTTTCTGCTCGGCCCCCCCAACTCCTGCTGCTGCAGCCATTATTATTATCTACGTAGGCTCCCTTTTTGCTAATTTTTGTTGCTCGCAATATTTATTGATGTTCTTTATTGTTTGGCTTTGGTCTATGCCACAGCCGTTTTCCTGTTTATCGTTCATTTCATGGGGCAGACGCCTGCAGGCGTGGCAGGCAGCGAGGCAGGCAAACTCATTTCAATTATAAAATGGCTTTCGCTTCTTAATTGAATCGTGAGTTTGAGTTAAGCAAAGTTAATATTTTATTTCCGCCTCGTTGTTGTTTCAATTGCGCTGCCAACGCCCCACTCTATGTGGCCACCCTTACGCCTCCTGCTCTGGGGGTCCGCCCCTCTGCTCTGTTTGCTCTGAGTACTGCCACTGTTTCCCTGCCATCATTTGGCGACTTTAAATGGCAGGCAAGGCAGGCAGCTTGCTCCCGTTTCCCATTTGGCATTCCTTCTACCCATCCCCATTCCCATCCCCATCCCCATCCACTTCCATTTCTCATTTCTAGACTCATTCCAATTGCTGTGCCAATGTTGCCAAGAGCCGCGAGGCATTTGCTTTTGCTTCAATTGCAGACACAAAACTCTGGGGATTGGGGAAGCTTCAATCGTTGCTGTTGCTGTTGTTGTTGATGATAAACTGGTAACAGATTCGGATTCAGATTTCTATTCACTTGAAAAAGCAAGAGAAGTATCTATCTCATTGCCTTGGCTATTAAGCTTTCTCATAAAAATGGGAAATAAAAATCCCAAATTCAGGCATTTGAGTAATTTGAAGCTTTTCACGTTCGTCAATAAAGTACAATTTCAATGAATTTGGCCTCCAGCAACGTTTTGGCAAATAGTTGCCCTCCATTTGCCCCCATGAAATGACCACTGAATTCCTGTTCCAGCCATTTCCTCATTAACTTTAATGCGACTCGAACAACAAATTTCAATATGCACAAAGCACACACATACACACATACAACACAAACTAAATACAAACAAGCCAAAAGTCAAATGTGCCAAATGGGTTTTTAGGTGGGGTCGTGGTCTGCCTGTCTCTATATGCGCGACTTCATTAAATATTTTACGTGAAAAGAATTGCTGTTGCGCACAATATTAAAATTGGAATGAATTGGCAAATGTTGTTCGGTTGCTTTTCGACAATGTTTCAGATGAATTTAGCAGCTTTACATTTTGATAGCTGATTAAAAATAACGAGCGACATTTGCATCTGTTTACCTGACAATGAACAAATGCTAGAGTGCGAAAGGTAGAGTATGAATGCTGTTCATATAGAATGAGTTTAAGTTCATTAAAGCTCATTCTTGTAAAGCTTCAATATAATATATAAACTGTATCGATGATAGCCTAAGCTTCAAGCTCTACTAGCCGAGTCAATTGTTAAACAGTTTTTTGCTGGATATTATGGGAATATAATAGGAATAGAATAGAGCAGTGTTGATTAATCAATATATACTTATAGAGCAAAGCTTAATAGGGGAAAGCACAGTAAAGCATGCTGTTACTTGCATTAGAATATAAGATGAGTTAAGATCATACGATCTTTTCAAATAAATGAGATAACATATTCCTCATTAAATCTGAATTTATATTGTAGTCAGGGTATATTGTAGTTGAGCATTTCGATGGCAATTATTTTTGCTGGTGATTGTCCAATTATTTCGTATGGGGAAATTAGGGAGAGTTTGCCCATTTATGCCGGCATTTTGTGCGCCTGGGCCTAATGTCCAAAATGTACAAAATGTTCGAAATGTTCGCCGAGTTGGCTAATTTGTACAGGCAATTAATTTACATTTGGGGCGAGGGCATTGGGCAATGGGTAATGGGCATTATGGGTAGGCAAACGCAAATGAAGAGGGGATGTGGTGCAAGCCATTTGTGCGATTTTGTAACATTTCGGCGCTGCGCTTCACTAGGCAAAGGACAGAGAGAAAGAGAGAGACAGAGAGAGAGAGAGAGAGAGAGAGAGAGAGAGCCATAAAGAGCGAGGCAGAGGTTGGGTGAGGCAGTTGGACTTGACATGGATATACATACATATAGTACTATATATACCACTATATAGCATATGTAACCCAGAGCGGCATGAGCTGGGTAGACAATTTGTCGTGTGCACTAAATATCGCAACTCCATGGACACTAATAAAGGCTGCGGCCCAAACTGTGGTTGCCTGTGAGCCTGCCTGAGGGGCCAAACGAGGCGGTGCGCTGGGCGTGACCCGGTGGCTCTGCGTGAGCTGAATTTGTGGCAGTGTAATTTGCTGCGATCTAATTGACAATTTGTGCAATTTTCAATGAACAACGAACAATTTACGTTGAGCTTCAATTGTCTGGGCTGCCATTAAATTAATATGGATACAGTATATAGTTTTGATAATTAAAGTTATATAAGCTTCACTAAATTTAATTTAAAATAATAAAATAATTTAAAAATATATTAGTAGATGTGTGAATATTAAAAAAATAAATAAATAAAATTGAGAAATAGCATAATATAAATATTATACAATATTTGAATAATTAAAAATACATTTATAGTAAACCTAAAATATTAAAATGACAAAAATATTAAATACATTTTTTTAGAAATATATCAAAAATATGTATAAAATAAGTATATCTGAAAAAAAAAAATAAAAAAATTTAATTTGATTATTTATAAGAAACTTTAAAAATTAAGTTTAATCAAATATTAATTTAATAAATTAATGAAGCATTTATAATATACATGTTATACTAAAACTTTTATTAATAAATTTCATTTTTAAAAGAATAATAATAATAATAATAATAATAACAATATTAAAAAAATTTCTAAATTTTTGCTTTGAATTGAACAACAAAAATTACAAATTTTTCTTTATTAATTTAATAAAAGAAGAAAAACGAAAATATTAAAGCATTTAATTTTAAATAAAAATTTTTTATATAAATAAATTTTACTGAGCTCAAATTATAATCTACAACATCCTTTTAGCCCATTTTGGTATAAAAACAATTTCCCATAAATTGTTATGCGACCTTTAAATCAAAGAGACTCAACTCTAAAATAAGAATATGCTTCATAAAATTCCTTAAAGCGAGCTTTATAAGTCAGCTCCGCCATCCATTTGGCATGAAAAACAATCGCAAATTATGTTTTATGTGCTCCTATTGATAAGTCGAACGCCCCGAGCTTGTCTCTGGCCATTTTTCATGTTTATGTGTGGCAAATTTATTGTTGGCAGCTAGAGAGAATGTGACAGAATCGCAGCTAAGCGATGACACTTTTAGGCATCTCTCTCAGACTGGGTCTGGCTGGCTGGCTGGCTGGTTGGCTGTTGCTTTTATCTGTGCAAGTGCCATAAAAAGAAATAACTCGACTCAACGACCCATTTTAAAAATTTGAAATGTTCTTTGACCAATTCCCCGGTTACAATGGCTGGCAATAATCATTGATTTATGATGGCTGTCATTGATGCTTATTAAAATCATATAATATTCTGATTTGAGTGGGAACATCAAAACTCTTGGCCATTGATTCAGCTTACTATTTATAATCCTCGATTGTTTGCTCTTGGCTGCTCTCTAATTGAATCATCGAGTCGCCTCATAAAGTAGGGCGCTAAAAGCATGCCTAATCTATGCATATTTTTCAACTTGCTCACATAATCAAAAGCCCTCCACTTAGCACTTGCCCCAAACTACCAAAAAAAATGGGGAAAAAAAGAAATACCCATAAAAGCACGAGGAGAACAACAAAGGGAGGCAGGCAGGAGAAAAATGTAGCATACATTTCGGGGCAACATTTTGTTGCACTTCGACACTAGCGCCCATTGTTGTCCTTTATGCTTGGCTATTTAATGTGGCAGCGTGTCCTGGCCAGGCACTTAGGCATTCCATCAGCATAGTGGCATAGCGTGCGGAAATGTTCGAGGGGTGGGCTTGGGGGGCATGGCCGACCGACCCCATTCAAAAAAGTTGCTCAAGCGCAGCGCAAGATTTGCATAACTTGACATTTTCTTAAGCTGCTGATTTTGTTGGTGTTGTTGTTGTTGTTGCTGATGTTTTTGATTTGAACGGATTTTGCGGCCATTTACTTTCGCTTGTTGGAAATAGAGAGCAGGCATTAGTTATGTGCCCTAGAAAACTAGAAAACTAGAGCGGGCTATGATGAGCTGGAGATAAGATATGTAACTCTGGGAAACATTTAAGATGAGAGCTGGGATTTACTTGAATGCCCTGTTCTAGAGTGCTTGATATGGGAGACTGGGTGTTGTATTTAAATCTCAGGGTATTCTAGGAATACTGTGAGGGGAAACTGATAGACCATGGATATAGTTTAGAGGTAAGTTTGAGCAATAGATAACTATAGACCGATTGTGATGTAGTTATACGTATACGTATGCCTACTTGAATACCTTATAGGGTAGTCAAATACTCGTATATCTAAATACCCTGTAATATACAATAAAAAAGAGGCCACCAACTTGATAAAGCATTACAGGCATACCTCATCATGTCAGCTCCATGGAAATTTACTCGCTTACTTTAGGGCAGATTAAGATAATTAGCCTGTAATATGCGAGCATGGCCAACTTTTTATGTCAGACCGTTAAGAGACAGTAATAACTACATTTAAGCGTATTTTTTTAATGCGCTTCATTTCAATAAACTCTTCAGCTCTTAAATCGCTTTTTTACGGTCTTTTTTTTTTACAGGGTGCTCGTGCTGTAAGCTGTCGTTCAATTTGCCTTTGATTGCCTACTTTGAAGAGTTGGCCAGAAGCTTTTAATCTGTCGCACGTTGCAATTAGTGTCAGCGCTTAACACAGACACTTCACACACACAGCCCAAAATACACTGAGCGAAAAGGAAGAGGTAAGTGCTTCAGTTAAAAATAAACTGTTTACTTAATTTATTTATACACAGCTACTTAACTGTGAGTGAGTGCTTAAAGTGCTTCAAGTTATTTTAAGATAACATCTGTTTTTCACACTGACTTTGGCATTTCTCAGTTTCGCTCAGTGTACTGACCAGCCACATGTCTAGCAGTGGAAGGGACGCAATGCTTAAATGTGAAAATATTTATTTAGTTTCACTTTGAAGTGGGTCTAGTCTGTTGACGTTCCGTCTCGAACCGAGTTAGTCACGGCTGCTGGCGCTGTGTGGGCCCGAGCCGGATTCGTAAGGACGAAATCGTGAAAAGTGGGTGCTCGAGTTGTTGTCGAGTGTTGAGGGAAAAAAGTGTTTAGCAAAACACATTAAATGCTTACGTATCAAAACGCAATCAGCTTAGGCGTAGAGGCGTCCGTCCTCTGCCCAATGTGCTGTATCCTGCTGTGGCCTGTGCTCCGTGTGTCCTGTGGACTGTCAACTGATATGAAATGTTATGCCTTTAATCCTTTCATTGGCTATGCCACAGAGACGCGCGGCCTTATGGCCAGTTAACACGCACAACACGAGAATACGCACGCACACTCACACACGGAGAGACGGTGTCGGGCACGAAGTGCTTAATCCTTTTTGGCTGAGAGCGTATTCGCACTTTGGACCAACACTTTTATTTGCTTGGGTGTAATATATCATTTCACAGGACACCAGCCAAAACGCTGACAGGCGTTGAGAGGGAGCGCGCGAGCGTAATGAGAGGAAAAGCGCCTTGAAATTTAAGCGCTTAAAAGCCCATTTAAGCCTGTCAACATGGCTCTTTTCAGCGGGTAGAGGGTAACGGGGCAGATACCGACACTTGCGGGCTCAATGTCCTCGCTGCTGGTTTGTCACAGCACGCGCGAGCCGAACCGCTAACCGCGTACAACAATAATTCCGATGACAGCGATAATGATAATGATGCTGGAGCTGGAGCTGAAGCTGGAGCTGGAGCTGGAGCTGGAGCCCTTTGCACGTTTGGTGTAATGATTTGGTTTATTTCTTGGTTTATTTATGTATTTTGCTGGTATTTCGTTAAGGTCGAGGAACAATATTTTGTATTTCTTGGACGGCGTTCACTTCGTCACTTCACGAATTCGTAAGCGAGTCCTGCCGGCGATTCGCTGGCAGCGTTTAACTCTCGTTTTAGTCTTTCGCGTTAGCTTCACGATTCCGACTGACTCTACCGGAAAGCTGTGTGCGACTGAATGCAGCTCGAGCATTGCGACTATCCGAAAGCCCGCGATAAAGCCGAAATTTGACGAAGCTGACTTCGTTCTTGGGCTGTGTGGGCACATGCGCAGTGGGGCAGGATAGATGCCGGCTGGTGGAGTTAGGGTATACGGGGTGTGTTTGGCAACAGCAGAAAGGACAATTGTTTGCTGGTTTGTTGCCGTTGCCACATGCCACATGCCGCTTGCCGCATGCAACTGTTGCGCATTTTTTCCAAATGGCCAAAACCCAAACATTTTGTTATTGTTGCGCTTTTCCTTACACAGGCAGAGGGAGAAAGAGAAAGAAAGAGAGAGGGAGAGCAACTATGGCGATTTCTATTGATGAACCGATAAGCTAATAAGCATATCACATAATTCAATAATAATTATGGAAATGCCTCGTAATGGGAAGACGAAATTAATTGTATCGGGCCTTGAGTGCGATGCTCATATCAATGTTTGTATACCGAACACTCCCCTGGGTCAAGCCATTTATTGTGAATGATATCCAATTATGAAGTATTACTAACGGGCTGATTGGTGGACAGATAGTAGATAGCCAATATATGCATATATATAATATTTGCATCAAATGAAATATTATTAGGCTCGGGGACCTAAGGGATTTGTGGACAGAATTAATTTGTTTATGGAACTAATTTGTAATCATTAAATAGAAAGAGAATCAACTAGAAATAATAGCTCATTTTGGACTGTTACTAACTTGTCTAATTTATGATAGCCCTAAGGCTTGCAACAATATGATATATAAGATAACTATGGAGAGTTGTAAATACAATAATATTCCCTTTCATAATATTTTCAAATGGATCTTAGGGACATTTGTGCTTTAGCAGCTTTGAAATTATAAATAGATTTCATTGTAAAAGCAATTTAATTGGCTTAGCTAACAAATACTTTCGGCTTTGGATAAAGTTTTCAGTACTGTAAATTGAAATTTGAAATGAATAGAGAGAGACAGAGATAGAAAGAGAGAGAGGGAGAGAGAATGTTATGCAATGGAATTGTATGAAACGGTAGTTACACATATGGCACCAACACTTGCATATACTTAATTGTGGAGCATACATGCACTATGTGTGCTCGCATGTGTGTGTGTGTGTGTGTGTGCTTGACTGTGACAAGTAGCCCTATTTGTTGTGCAGCAAATTCAATTTGTCACTCAAAAGCCGTCGAAACGAAGCAATTTCCTGCTGGCTGCCAACAACAGTTGCCCTAGAAGAAGAAGCTGAAGAAAAGAGGCGGAAAATCAGTTCAAGAAGAAGAAGAAGCAGCAACAGCAGCAGCCGAGAATGATGAGCTGCTGGTAGGAACATTTTCCAAACTAATTAAATGAAACGAACTCTCAACGAAGTTGGAACCAAACCGAACTAAGCAAATTGGGCAACTTGTCGCAGTAATTACATCAAAATATCTAAAAAGAGAGGGAAAAAAACAAGTGAAAACGCTGCACAATCAAAAAAGTAAGCAATCTATATAGAAACATATATACATGTGTATATAGGTATATATATATGTAAGTATATATATGTATGTGTGTAAACTGTCAAGTTGATTCATTTGTGGGACCAGAGGCAAAGTTATTTGGCATTTCCTGTCCCAGGATCTGACAGATGGCCAGCGAGACTTGTCGGACACAAAGCTCAATTTAGTAGAAGAAACGAATGTCAATTAAAATTTTTTAATGAAATAACTTTCTTTGATTTGCTATAGAGCAGGAGTCGGGACGTCGGGGCGGCCGTTGGGCTATTTGCCATTTGCCAGCTGCAGAAATTCAATTAAAAAAGGTTGATTAGTTAGCAATTACATTGCCAAACGCCTCAAATATGCCTCATTAACAACAACAACAGCAACAGCAACAAAGAGACGTCCAGAAAAAGAAGGCCAAAAAAGAGGCCAGAAACAGAAAATTCCCTGCTTCTAAAAATTGCTGAGACAGCCGCCCCAGCAGGCAGGACACTTAGAACTTTGGACGACTTTTAATTAAAGCAAACGAGTCCTGAGCTTGTGCAAGCAAAAATATCAAATTGGAAATCATAAGAAAGCTCTTGAAAAATAATTGAAAATATTCAAGCTGTGCGTTGGAAAACCCTTTTCCTCATTTTCCAGCGTCATTTATGTTGTTTACACGTGCAATTGTAGATCTAGAAGAGGAGGAGGAAGATTGCAGAGCTGAAGCCAGCAGGCGCCACGTGTGGCTATTAAGTGTCGGCCAAGTAAATTGCAGGCGATAAGACTGTGATTTAAGAGGAGAAAAGAGAAGGGGGAGGGGGCAGGTACTGCTCTGTAGAGCAACAGCTACTGATAGCTGATAAGCTCATAGGCGGGCAGAACCACACGAGAACCACTAAGCCACCAGACGTGCTCTTATCGGCGAAGCCAACAGGAGGCAACTACCCAGGGACACGCCCACTTTACCATAATGAGTCCAGTCTAACACATAAAAAGGGGAGGAAAGGAAAGGTTAAGCAACAAATGTGAACTAAAAGCTGCACAGAAGGACAACAATAAGCAACAACAGCAACAACAACAACAAGAGCAATTGAGAGACGCTTAAGCAGCTGCAGCAACTGTAAAAAAAAGCTGCAGTGGAGTGTCAAAGTTCACACCAACCCCAGCATGGAGGAGGAAGTGTAAGTGGTAAAGCGGGCTAAGGATAAAGAAAAGGATAATAATGTGAATGCGAGAGCAAAAACAAATATGTGAGACTTGATCTGTGGCTGCAACTGTGTGTGTGTGTGCTGGTGTGTGTGTGTGTGTGTGTGTGTGCTGGGTGTGTGTGGCAGGCGCACGCGAGGACAAAACAAAACAACAAATAGTGAGGAGAAAACAGAAAATAGAATCAAATCGCAATAGAACGAAACGGAATCCTCTTAATGCGCCATGTAAACAAAATGGGCACGTGACCCGCAGGAGGGCAAGCTACCCCCTTAGCGCTCTATATCCTTCCTTATCCCCAACCAAAATTTGTGTCCTGCTGGCGCCGGACAAATTGCCTCGTGAAATAATCTTGCCAGGCAGCAGATGCAGCTGCAGGAGCAGCAGCAGAAGCAGGAGCAGAGGAGACTCTCGTGGCGCCTTCATAAAATGCAGAGAGTCTCAAGAAGTTGTAGAGGATTTATCTTGGGGTCGAGCTGGGAGCTGAGGAATAATTCACAGTTGACCGAACAGTGTGAATGCACTTTCCAGTTGCTCATCCCATTTATCCTGGCGCACAGTTATCAGAGTCCTTGAATGGCTGTCAAGTTGCGGCCGCTTTACAAATCGTTGCAAATTCTCAGATCAAATATCCTAGACTAGAGGAGGAAGAGGAAGAGGAGGAAGCAGAACTGTGCAACAATATAAAAGATGTATCTGATGTGTCTGTTGAGAGTCCGTTGCAATCCTTTGCCGCAGCTCACAACAAAAGCAACGCAAGCTCGGACACTTCCTTCTTCCTCTGCTCCTGCCCCTGCCTCTGCCTCTGCCTGTTGCTGCCACATTTTGGGCCATTTCCTTCATTGCTTCAACACATTGCACTTCCATTGTCAGCTGCTGAGAGGGGGGAAATATTGGAAGAGGAGCAGATGGGCAGCTGCTGTCAGTTACAGTTGGAATGCCTTTCGAGGATACCTAACATGTCCAGTTGAGAGAAGCAGAAGAGGCTCCTCTTGGCCTGTTGCCAAGTTTCTATTGCCACACGTATTCTCATATGTCTCACTCGTTGGTTAATTACCTCGATAAATGGGTAATTGCCTCACTTACTCGCACAGCATCTGGGGCCAACAACCCCAACTGGGACGCCAGCTGCCAACTGCCCACTGCACTTCATTTTGTTTTATTTTATGCGTCACAATTTGCTTTTAGTGGTTCGCTTCCTTGTGGCAGAGCCTTGAATGCCAGGGAATGGAATGGAATCTGTGGAACTATCAAGATTTTACGAGTCAAGTTATGAAGTCCGAAAGATAATAATGGGCCAACACTTTACGCTTGGCACTAATTCAAAATCCGCCAACAAGTTTGGGCGCCCAAGGGCCAAGGCCAAGTCGGCAGCCAAAAACATAACTACACTGAGAGAAATGGGAGCGAAACACGGTTTACGATATTGCTCGTATTATTATTATTGTTGTGAGGGAAAACTATAAGCAAAACTCTAGCCAAAAGTCAGGCGAGTAAATTGTTTGATGCTTTGAGGCACAGACTTAGTTCCAAAGGGGCGGGGCAGTTTGTCGGAAGCGTCGGAAAACTTTCGTTGCCAACAGCAGCAGCAGCAGAAGAAGCTATCAACTGTCGGGCTCCACTTGGATGTCAGCAGTCGGCAATGGGCCAAAAGGATAAGCAGCGTCGCAATATGAAAGATCTGCCCAGCCACAGGAGAAGGGACAGACGGATAGTACTGGGGGATACTGGACCAAGGAGGACTTCTTTGCTCAAAGCTTTTATTGCCTGGCGCTGTCTGGAGGGAGACTGCGGAAAGTAGCGCCAAATTTGTATGATTGGAAAAAGTCAGAGCCAAACTGAAGTCTGTCTGGGCAGGAGGAGCAGAGGACGGGGTATGTGGATGTAACTGTGGGGAGCACGCCGGGTAAATGAAGTGTGACGCTTTGTTTTCCTTTGATTTAGTTTTATGGGTCTACATCGGATGTAATTGAATTATGCAACTTGGCGCCGACACCCGACGGGCCAAGGCAGACCCCGCCCACAAGACACAACAGACAAGAGCCGACTTTATTAGCATTGAATCGTAAAAGCGAGACGAGTCTATATATGGAAACAGGAAATGACATCTATATTCGCAATGACGACGCGAATGATGATAGAAGAGCAGCCTGGGGGCAGATTGCGATGGGGAATACGGATATGGATGCCAGCGGGGATGGGATCACGTTAGAGCTTTTTAGCGTTGGCATTTGAATTTTCGATGCCCAGGTCCGTTTGGGTCGTGCCCAACACCCGGTGAAATGAGTTGGAAAATATGTCTGTGGTTGCCCAACAGGCAGAGCTC